CCCCCTCCCCTCTTTTCACGTTGTCTTTAGCATGTGTGTTATTTCACGTATTTACGACTATATAGAGAATTTTAACAAAAAGTGCATGTTTGCTGATGCTGAAAACTTAATTTGGTGTTGACTTTGCGATTGAGCACCGGCAGATTTCACTGTTTTATCACACAAAAAAGGAACTTTTGTTTCTTTCCTTTTTTTTTCAAAAAAAAAAGGCTTATTTTAGAAGCTCATTGAAGTCAATGGGCACGTGACTTGGCCGAAACAATCCCCCTCCCCTCCACACACACACACCTCCCCCAAAATTCGTCACGTGGTTTGGGTACGGCCCCTAAACTTGCCATGGAAATTTCTTTTGTTTATTGTATAGTCGATTATTTCGTCAAATCAAAGAAATGTTCTATAAAATTTTCCTTTGAAATGATGGAATCCACTTTTCCTTGAACCAAAGAAGCCATTTTCTGAGACCGAGCAGAGCACCACTCTCCGCAGCGTGGAGTACCGACAACGCGAGGGCGCATCACCGCGGCCATGAGGGACGAGCGCGGCTCGCGGCGCGGTGCGACGCTGGGAGGATGGCATGGATTGATAATGAAAAGAGAGGCTTTTGATAAGCGGTGGGCACAAGATAGCAAAAGGTGCGCCAGGCGCGGCTCGGCGGGGCGTGGTGGGCAGATGGGTGGGCTAAGAAGGGCTAAGGCCGCTCCCACCTAGAGCGAGCCGGCCGGCAGAGTACCCGCTAAGGCGGTGAGTCAGGAAACGAAACGGGAGGAGATCAACAAGACTACTTCCGGTCACAGTGGGAACGCTTCATGACTAATTAGGTTCTGCCCCACCCACAGCCCGTCGGCCCCAAGGGGGGGCCTCCCCGCCGCCCTGCCCGACATGACGACACCACGATGACGTCACGATGATGACTACTCACATCAGGCCCGCGCCGAACTTGGGGTCCACCTTCTCCATGGTGGGGAACAGGTCGTCCACCATCCACTGGTTCTCACAGTCGCACGACCAGGGGTTGCCGTCCAGCCGCAGCGACTCGAGGTGGTCCCAACGGCCCACCAGCATGCTCTCGAGGTAGCTGAGCGCGTTGTCGTGCAGGTGCAGCTGCGGGTGGCGGGCGCAACGTTAGTAACACATTTTTAGAATGGTTTCGAAAAACAGTGAAGAGTCCGCATAACAGGAAACGGAAGCAATTTTTTTTGTACATAAAAATACACCGACAGAAAAAAGATTTGAACCACAAAAATGTTGTTTCGCGAGTTGTTTGTTTGTTTGTTTGTTTGTTTGTTTGTTTGTTTGTTGTTTTTTTTGTTTTTTTAAGGAAATTGTGTCCATTTGCTAAACACAAGCGGTTCGAAATTATTATTTTACTTACGGTCTTGAGGGGCGGGTACTCGTGCGTCTCGGCGGGCGGTACGATCGGCTCCACCAGGGCCGTGGCGTTGATCTTGGCGAGGCGGGGGTTGGAGTGCAGGAACAGGGCCTTGAGCGACGGCAGCGTGGAGAAGGCCGCGGGGCCGACCTCGGTCAGGTTAGCCGAGTGCGTGATGAGGAGGGTGGTGAGGTTGTCCATCCTTGGCATGGGTCTGAAGGTGAACAAATAGATAGAGATAGAGCGTCATCACGCAGCTGGAAGTTGCCGACAGGGATTTTTATTTTCCAGAAACGTATCTTTGGGGAAATTTGATTGTGTCAAGAAATTTGTTTGGATATTTGGATATGGATATTTTTTTCTGGTAAAATTTCATTTTTTAAAACCCCTAGTTGCCCAGGAGCATCCGGCATGACTCACTCATTGAGTACGGTGAAGGAGTTCTCGCTCAGGTCGAGGTACTGCAACACGTGGGACTCGGCCAGGCCGGGCGGCGGCGCGGTGAAGGCGTTGCCGCTGAGCACGAGGCGCTGCAGCTTGTTGGGGGTGTGCAGGAAGTGGTCGGGCAGCTCGCTGATGCCGGTGCGCGCCAGGTCCAGCACCCGCAGGCCGAGCAGGCCCGACACGGCCTGGTGCGTGTGCAGGTCGATCACCTTGAAGGGGTTGGCGTCCAGGTACAGCTCGGCGAGGCGCGGCAGGTGCATGAACAGGTCCGGGTCCAGCGAGTGCAGCGCGTTGGAGCCGAGGCGCAGCACGCGCAGCCGCTCCAGCGGCTCGTAGTTCTCCGGGGCGTAGTGTCCCTGCAGGGGGGAATGAAGGAAATAGTATCGACGAAAAGCGGAATACGCAACGACGTGGAAGTAGCCCATTATCGGTGTCGTTTCGTTATCCGCTGTTTCACATGGCTGCGGGGAGTCCCTGAAGGCTGGTCCGACCGCCTGGGAGGTAGGCTGACCCGCCACGACTCGGTGTCGTGCGGGCCGGCCCAGCCCGCCGCCGTCAGGCGCCAGGGTCCCGCGCACCACACACCGCCCGCGCACTGACCTGGAAGATGTGCGGCGACATGTCCTCCGTGGTGAGGTGGTTGTGGCTCAGGTCGATCTCCTGCACGTTGGTGAGGTTCCAGAAGGCCTGGTTGTCCACTTTGGCGATGTGGTTGTGGCTGAGGGAGAGGGTCTCCAGGGCGTCCAGCGTGGGGAAGGGCAGCACATGCACCAGGTTGTTGCGGTCGAACAGGACCACCTTCGGCTCGAAGGGCAACGCCGCCCAATGCGCCGGATCCGGGAAGTGGTGCGTGAGGTCCTGGAACACGTCGCGACGGTTCAGGATCCCGACTCGAAGGGACGGTCGCCTCTCCCCGGCCCGCCCACGGACGCGCTGCACCTACCTTATCTGAACAGTTCAGCAGCTTGCGCTCGATGTCGCACTCGCAGAGCGCGCAGATGACACCGTCCTTGACGGCGGCGCTCGTGTTGTTCGCAGACGTCGCGTTGCTGCTGGCAGTCATGTTGGCGTTGGTCTGGTTCGCTGGGCTCGCGACTGCGACATCCGCGGCCGGGTCTGCCGCCAGGGCGCCAAGGACGACGGCGAGGCAGCAAGCGGCCCCGAGCGAGAGGCGCCACATGATGGCTGGAGCCCTGGAGAAAGTCATCCGATGAGTTGACGGGGGAGGGACGGGAGGGAGGAGGAGGCCCTGGCCTGGGCGCACAGGATGCGCGACACGGCGACGACAACCCGGCCGATAAGAGGATGAGTAACGCCGCGGGAGACCGGAGGCGTCAAAACTATGTCAGGACAATCCGCTTACAGTAGAACGAAATGGACTCGTCGGTGTAACAGGTCAGTCGCACAACACCTTGGAGTCCGTCGACGTCCGTTTACGACACACTAACGCCGCCATGCCCTATCCACGAGCTCTACCAGGTCGTGGGCGCGGTCCCCGACCACAGCCACGCTCACACTTACTCGGGGGAGCGTCTGCTGTCGTTGGTGCGCGCCTGGCTGGAGGTGCAGCTCGGCTAACTGCAGCTAGTGTAAGTCTGGGAGCAGAGAGACGGGTGCGAGCGGCGGCAACGACGGACGAGGACCCTTCCTCTGGCGGCCAGGGCGGTGCGAGGTGTGTCGGCTGGACGTGTTTGGGGCGCTATCTCGCCCGGCTTATCTCCTTTATCTACGAGAGAGAGCCAAGAGAGAGAGGTAAGAGGAGAGGGAGGGGGGAGCGACGAGCTAAGCTAGTTTACTAGGGCTTGCAATTCTATTACGCTGGTAGGAAGGCCGATGTGCAAAGCCACAGGACCATGGTCCTGCCTCGTGCTCCTACGCCCCAAAGGGGAATGCTCCGGATGTTCACAATTATCAATTGTGTTCCAAATTATCAATTGCAATTAACCGATTGCAATCGTGCTTTTTACAAGGACAGGGAATAGAGGCTAAATTTCTGAAATACCTTCTATATTTGGTGTCTTTGAATTACATGAGTAGAAAAATCATAATTAAATATTGGTAGAACTTAACCTACAGTGCTTTGAGATCGTGCTCATTTGCACGCAGTGAACGCATTAATTAGGAATGACAACTGAAATGCAGCACAGCCACTGCTAAGTACAAAAATATACATGGCAACACAATAAAGAAATTTGCAAACTATAAAACAACATTGCAAAAATATCTTTCCGAGGCAAAATGCAGTAATTTAAAAACAAAAACCACACCACTCACTGCTTTTTTGCAAATTATGTACTTTTAATGTTGAGTGGGAAAGAATTGCATGCACTTATGCTCAGTATTCATCATAATTACTTAGACAAGCGGCTAGTAATACAAGCTGCCTGAATGGGCACAAATTACACTTTGGTGATTTTCACAAAGAAAAGTACAAAATAACATGCTACAAAACCTGCAAATAGGAAACATTATTATGGTGGATTTTCATCACAGAGTTGATAACATTCTTAAAACTACAAAACACCACACACATTAAAGGAAGCTTGTAGCAAATATTGAAAAATAAAGCTTGCAAGTAAAGTGGTTCCAGTCACAAAAGACTTCAAAGCGTATATTATTACATATCACCAGGTTGGCTTTCACAACTATAAAAACCTCAAAGGGAAAAAATAGCATCTAGTGTAACTAGACAAGTAATAATAAAGTTGAAAAA